CCGCTATACTCCATTACGCAACACTGCTACATGTAGCTACATGCTAACGTCAGTGAGACCTGTAATCTTGGTTGCTAATGAGGTTAATTTCTCCATTATTTCAGATAATACTCCTGCTGAAACATGTCTGTGTTCAGAAGATTATAGTGGTTATTTTAATGGAAAAAAGTGCCGCTGTACTCGGTTGAAGTCAAGTCTGGGACTGCAAGTACACTGCTACATGTAGCTACATGCTAACGTTGGGGAAACCTGTAATCTTGGTTGCTGCTTTCTTACCAATTTCAGTTCATATTCCTGCTGAAACATTTCTTGTAGAAAGTGTCGCTATACTCTGTTATAGTCATTACCATGGCTGCGATGTCGGTGGAAAGACAGGCACTTTAAGTGAGTGTTTCAGACAGAGGGTGAGCCAGGTGTTTTAGCACAAACTCCTTCAGTTTTTTAACCATTAAAGCATGTAGACATGTTCCAGCAGAAACCCAAAATATAAGTATGAACCTGGAAAATGAACATAATAGGTTGTCTTCCTTCAAATAATCCAGTGATGGAGTGATAGTTATCTGTACATCCACTGGTGCAGTGCAAACAGTTACTGCTAATAGCTAATTCAGCATACCTTTAACCATGCCAATTTGCTCAAGTTTTAGACCACAGCGCAACTCAATGAATCTATGGCAGTTGACAACGTTCTGCCTCCTGTTTTTATCCCCCTAGCCTTTACAGAAACTGTAGATCCACAAGTGAGAGAAAATTAGAGCATTATTATTCACAAAATACAAGTAGGCTGCTGCAAATTAATGTCTGACAATATATGACAAATTACTATTTTATGTTTTGTTTTTTTTGCCTCTATAAGGCTTAGAACTTCCAGTCAATATGGTATCTATATTCCTGAAACAAAGACATTCTCCCCAATGCATTCATATACAGATAGATAAATAAATAAATAAATAACAAGCAAACAAAACAAAACAAAATGAGGATTCAGAGGGTTTAAGTGATGTGAGTCTTTGGCCAGTCTTTCATTAGGGATCTCCCTGCTGATCTGGTGTTGTGCACAGTGTCATGTGTTTTCCTGGAGTATGTAAATTATCTAACATACGCTGTGTGTATCTTCGTGACACACTGGCACACACACACATGTACATTAACACACACACACACACACACAGATAGACAGGGAGCTATGTTCTGATCACTGCCAAGCCAAAGCATGCAACATGATAAGAACTTTTTTTTTTTTTTTTCACATGAACACAGATGCATTACATGTGTCAACAAGAAGGCTCACCAGTTTCCAACATGGGAAAGACCCTACAGTACACACATCAATGCATTATGGTTGTTTTTTTGGTTGTTTTTTTACATTGCATAGTTACACTTTTTGTTACATGGTAATATTCATACATGACTCTTTCAAACTTAACGTGACCACAGTGGAGAGACAAGCCCGAATGAAGTGAACATGAGTGACGATGGATGCAATGAGGTGTGGGTGCCATGTGGAGTTATGTCGCTGTGATGTGATGTGGTGATGCCACGTGAGTAAATGACCAACAAATCACTGACAACAATGCGGAAATACAGAAATCAACAGAATACAGCTTTCGAAAAAGAGATAAGACGCAACAATAACAACAACAAAAAAAAAAGACAAAACCACAAGCTGCTTTCTGTCTCGGCCCCAGAGAGTCCTGCTTTGAAGTGGTTTGCTTCAGAGATTGGTGAGGGGGTTGTTTTCAGGATATGAAGGGGGTGTGAAGTTAGCAAGGACCCTTCTGTTGTGCACTTTGTTTGTCCCTTTTGCTAATGGTCCCTAAGCACAAAGCAATCCCAAAACACAACAGCACCAAACGACTTCGATCTAGCAAAGTTCATGCTGCTGAACTTTATCGATTCTTGTCTTTTTATTTTCTACCTTTCCAATTTCCCCTCCAGCTTTGATTTTATGAAAGTCACTCCTGTTCAGTTTTAACAACTGCCTCTGGAATTTTTATGTACTGAATGGAGGCATGAAGTGACAACAGATACTTAGGTTTTGAGTCAGTCAGTGTCTGACAATTTATCGGAAACACCTTAATAGAGCTCCTTCTGCTGTTTAAAGGTTCTGTATGTAACTTTCAGAAAATCCTTGTTATTTGTAATACCCCTATCTGAGGCCATTACGTGAACTCAGTCAGCATTCTGTTGCTAGCGCTCTGGTACACGTACAGTAGCTGTGAATAAACACCTTGGCATCCACCAGGACATTGACAAACACAAGACCATGATATCATGTTGACAGAAGGCTGGAAAATAAATTTAAATCATTTTTACAATAACATTCCTATCTTCAGTGTTTCTGTATTTCATTTTCTATTTTGCCAAGTTAGCTAGCTAGCAATTTGTCCACGTTAGCAAGCAAGCTAACGTTAGCTGACAATAGCCAGCTAAACCCACAATATTACAATATATTTCACATATCAGTGCTTCCTCTAACGTTAAAATTTCTTGTCAGCGCTGGAAGGGAACTGAAATCAGTTCATCTTAGCTCCTGGTGTGTCTAGCATTCCACCCTTTTGTTTCCCTGTGTCCTTTTCTTGTTTTTTTTGGCCTCATCCCTATTGGATTCGTTTGCCTCCACTGATAGACCGTCTGTGTACCGGACCTACCTTTTGACCAGTAAAGACTGTTATTTCATTCGACTTGTTTTCAGAGTCATGCGTTTGAGTCCACTCTCACCTGGCTCACTGCTTGTTACAGCAAACCATAGATGTACAATAATTCCCATACTGAATGCCAAGATGACGCCTATTCATTCCAATGAAACTGCTCACCTGGCGCATATGCGACAAAACGTTTCTAGCCTCTGGGTATACTTTCGTGGTATGCGGCCCACTAAATATACGCAGTAGTGTTTCTCTTGCTGGCCCAACTCACGACTTCTTGCTCAGCTCATAAACTTTACATTCTGCTGACATCACATTATTTTAAATTGCTTTTTTTTAGGTTGAAGAAAGTTTTACAAATAAAAAAACCACCACGGATCAAAAATTTAAAATAAAAAGAGTCATAATTGACCGTGTTTGCAATTCAAGGTGTCCTGTCAACAGTTTTACAGACGTCTCTTTTACAATGGTGCACTATGGAGAAAATGCTTCTGCGGGCCAGGTGGGATTTTTTACCAATACCCTGAGAAGTCACTGGGTAGAATTAGACGCAAGGCTAAAACGCTTTCCTGGGGGCCTGGTGCAAACCCCAGTCCTGGGTGTCACAGCAGCCTGGTGGTCAGTGGCAACAGCAAAGTTTATTGATCCAGCGGTCAAGAGGGCAGTCCGGGATCAGACCCCTGGCACTGTGGCTGAATTCAAGTTGCTACAGAGTGCCCTGCAAAGGTCCTTCTTCACTGGGCCACCATTGTAAAATTACATAACAGAAATAGCATGTGCTGACTCTTGTGTTGTGGTGGGTACTAGTCGTTTGTTGACGTTAGCGGACTCCATTTCTTAGCTAACGGAGCTGAAGAGAGGCAAGGCACTTCCGAACACACATGACGCCACATTCTTTGGATTTTACAGTAAAAATCTTGCCTGATCCCTTCACATTGTGTCAGTCCACATGGTAGAGGCAACGGAAAAAATCAGGGACAGTCTCAGTTTTTAAGTTATGTTCCAAGCTCTTCACCCATCTGCAATAAAAACTGATTAATACTGGTAAAGATACATACAGAACCTTTTAAAGTGGCAAACAAAGCCAATAATAAGAGTTCACTTGTCTCCCTTCCCTCCTACACTTCTCTGTCCTTCAGTCTATCTGTGTGCTTGATTTAATACATCACAGTCCTCTGAAGTGTTTAAAGTGTGATTCTGCCTGTGCATGTTGGACTGCAGCCTTCTGCTACTTATTATTTCCGGCACTGTGGGGGCTATGATTCGCCATCAATATGCTTTTGCTTATCTGCTATTTTCTGCCAAGCTCATACAAAGCAGCAAAACAGTCCTGTGAAACTGGCAGTTCACAAAAAACAAACCATTTTCGGGCGGATGGTTTAATTGCTACTGATGCCTTGGCCAGATGAATGCCTTAATTTTCGGCGAAACTCTGGTGGGAGAGTGCACTTCGTTAAATAAAAGCAGCAGGCAAACAATTTTTTTTGTGCTGTCAATTCTGCTTGAAAGGGGCGAGATAATACCTTGTCAAAGGCAACTATTATTTCTTTTTGTACTTGCTTATCTAATTCTATATTTTCCAGTCGGCCCATTCAACACTAAATATTAATTATCATACCCCTCAAAGTTGTCGTACAAAGGTAGAGGTGTTACAGCAGCCAATTATTAGCTGGTCTGTTTTTCCTATTCCCCAGGACGGAGCTTTTAAATTGTCTGACTTCAATAACTTTGATTGAAATACAAAAGACTTTTTGGATATGCAAGTGTTGGGTTTCCAGCTGGAAGCATCAGCTCTATCACTGTCATGTGCCAATCTGACATAAAAAGATAACAGCATTATCGTCCGGCTTTCCTTACTAAACTCAATGTAATACTTTTCAAATTATTCAATTATCAGACAGACTGCTTCACCAAGGACTTGTCCAGGAAATGGGATCTTGATTTGTTTGAGTTGGATTTTACTACTGTGTGGGTTTATCTCAGTCGTCTGACAAATATTGACAAATAACAAATCCTCAATGTCTCTAGATTTGCTCAGGAAAAAAATCTTGCAGCCTCAACAAGACCCAAAACCCAAGCTGATGTGACTGACTCATTGTGATCACGGAGGGGCAGAATTTCAGATAGTTTCTGGAAGAATCTGAAGCCTTTACAACCACTTCAACTTAGAAAACACTGCTGGGGTAGTTGTGTTGCCTAAAGTAGCTACTGCAGCACCGCTACTAACAGGATGCATGATACGTGGCTGCAATTAAAATTTACAGAAAATAAAACTTAAAATTATTCAAAGTAAATAAAGAAGTAAAAAACAAAAATATTTGTGCAGATGTTTCAAGGATGCAGTCGTCTTACCTGGGGACACAGGCAGTAGAGGTCTCCCCCTCGGGGGCCTCTGGGGCGGGGCAGCAGAACTGGTGAAGCACTGTTTGGTTGCTGTGTGAAGAAGAGGAGAAACAGGAATTAATATAAAAGATCAAAATGGATGTCACACTAAAAGTTTAATTCTTTCTTGTGGTTTTCAGCCTGGTTTCACCTCCAGAGCCTGAAAATATTCCACTTCAGAAGAGTTTAGTGTCTGCCTGAGAAGCACCGGACTTTCCACCAACTCCAATGTAAACCCATCTGGGTCATTATTATGCACTCAAAGCAACAGACATAGTTTGTGAAGAATGTGAAAGTGGGTGAAAGTTAGGGTGAATAGGTGGGGAGGTGAATAGGTCCAACAAACACCCAACTTTAACCCAGGCGAGCAGTGTTTGACACCATCAAACAACATTGGTTGCTGTGTTTGTGCCACTCAAACCCAGATGTCTATTCCTAACTGTAACCAAGGAGTTCTGATGCCTTAACTTTACCGATGACCCCTTGCATGAGTTGCTTCATGTGAACAACATAAACCACAGTCTCTTCCTAATCATAGCCAAGTAGTTTTGTTGCCTAAATAGGACTTGGACCCAGGAAAGTGGTGGTTGAGACCAACGACCAAGTGGTGTTTGTGCCACTCAAAGCAGAGTGGTTTTTTTTTTTTATCAAAATCCACAATCTTTTCCTGACCATAGCCAAGTGGTTTTGTTGCCTTAACCTAACTGCTGACCCCTTCTTACCGCCATATTTGTGCCACTCAAACCCAAGTGTTTTCTAACGACACACGGCCACCTCTCTGGCTTCGTTTGTGCCACTCAAAGCTGAGAGATTTTTGAGCAACACCCGCAATCTTTTCCTAATCATAACCAAGTACTTCCGTTGCCTAAACTGGACTTCGACCCAGGAAAATGGTGTTTGAGACCAACAAACAAGTGGCGTTTGTGCCACTCAAAGCCAAGCGAAATCCACAATCTTTTCCTGACTATAACCAAGTAGTTTGTTGCCTAAACCGCCGACCCCTTCTCAACACCATCTTTGTGCCAATTAAAGCCAAGTCATTTTTAGTGACACACAAACGTTTGTCCAGGGTTCCTGGTCGGCATGAACCTGGGAGGGTCAGGTTTGATGTCTGCCTCCTCTTTGTAGGTGTGAGTCTCCTTTTTCCAGGCGGTGAAGTGGTGGGGGGAGGGGCTGCTGGGCCTGACTGAGGTGTTCAAGCTCACTTTCCGTTAAAACCTCAACCTGCCTGCTGCTCTGCATTTGGGTCCATCCTGAGCTGATCCCTGACAATTTTAGATCCCGTCATTCCTCACCTGCCCACCAGTTGTCCTCAGTGTATTTCTCCTTCTAGCTCATCACCTTAGCAGTCTCCTCCCTGCACACCTGCTTCACATTAGTCATCAGCCCAGTATATTTAAACTCCACAGTCAGCATTGTGTATTCTGCCTCATGGCTGCAGCAGCCTGTTTGACCCATTGTTTGTCTTCTGACTCTTTCTGGCTCAGGTCTTCCGGTTTTATCAGCCTTCTTGTGTGATCTCCCAGAGACAGATTATTTACTAATTGTTCACCCTTACAACTGCAGCCTGCAAAATGTGTGTCTTTTCTACTCAATGGTCGTTTTTGCTTAAGACGGTTCCAACTAAGTGAAACGATGTGGAAGTATCTAAGGGTGTTTTCACATATAGTCCTTTTAAAACAAACCGAACTCAGTCCTCTGAAAGTGTAACAAAAAGTGGACCAACAGAGAAGGGACTCAGTTCTCTTTCTGGTCAATTTCAGCTCTGATGGGACCTCAGTCCTCTTGCTGTTCACACTATAGCCTATAATATATATTGACATAGTTTTATTTTTACTTTGACATGGCACTGCAGTGCAGTTATGAAGCCCCTCTCTTTCAAATAAACTTTGGAGGTAATCCTTAGTGTTTCTGTGCTGTAGACTGTTGCCATTTGATGTATTCTACATTCTACACATAGAGACCTGCAGTATCTTCCGTGGACCAAACTACTCCTCGTCCTGCGTCCTTGCAAGCATTACAGGCCAATGTGGTTTTGTCTGTTTTTTCAAGCATCCCATTGCAACAGCATGCGATCTCGAGGGCTAAATGCAATAGCAAAGAGCAAAGCGAACCGCACTGCGGACTTGAAGCGAACTGTACTCAGACCACCTCCGTAAGATGGTCTGAGTACGGGTTGCTTCAGAAGGGTCCAAATTCTGTGTTCACATATGCACAAAAAATGCTGAGTCACCACTCTGAGTCCAATTAGAGGGCTGAAAAGGACCAAGTGTGAAAACACCCTGAGTGACAGTCACGATAATAGCTGCTTTAATACTCTAAATGCTATGGAAAGGTGATTCAGTGCTTCCTTTTTATGAGCCAATTTCAGATTATTGATGTCTGGCAACCTAGCTACTAATTAGTTACAGTTCATATTTACAGTAATGTGACGAGCTGTTTCATTCCCTGCACTAAAATGCACCTGAATGTAGAAATTACTTTTAAAACTTTATGTATTTACAATAAACTTGTTTTGTTTCTGTGTGCTGATTTCTAAAACTAGGACTAGAGGCTCTGCAGTGTGAAAGTCTAACATTCTTATGAGTAAATCACACCAACAATTAGAGTGAAACCAGCTTTATATGGCAAATTTATAGGTGTTGATGTTGCTAATAATGAAATCTCACACATTAATAACATCCTCATGAACAGGTGAAATTCACCTGGCTCACAACAAAAAAAAAAGTAAGATAAGGATACAAAAAGGACCTTGCAATAGGCCCATTGTGTTTTAATGGGAGCCAGTAAATGTAAAAATAACTTTGTTTATTCACAAGAAAACTCCACAGGTCACCTTTTAACTAGATAATATCAATGTGAAGCGCGATGCGTTTGAGTTTCTCAGTTTGTGACAGATGGAATTCGGGGGACTAAATGAATGAAAGATGCAGATGAAGTGAAAGGCCACATTTAATGTGCATTGTTCTGCTTTTGATGTGTTTGTCTGTGTTCAGTTGATCTGAAAGATGATATAACGAGAGAGACAGAGACGGAGAGTTCGAGAGTTTGAGTGTTTCATCACCATGGTGACAGACAGACACAAAGAGACGGCGCTTCATGGTTTCAGCACCACAGAGAAAGACACAGACTGAATGTGTCAGCACCATGGACAGACACAGAGATGTTGAAGAAAAAAGGCTGGCTTGTGGAAAGTTTTCTTAACCTTGATGCAGTGAAACAAAGTCCAAACAAAGATTTGCGTCCAATTTTTCCACAGCAAAAGGGCTTCCAATTATTTTAATGGTAAACTGATTAATGGTTTTAGCTATTAAATGTTAGATTATAAAGAAATAGATGATCAGTTTACGAATATATGTGACATTGAAAAGCAGTAAATCCTTATCTGAGTCGCTGGAACCAGAGAATGTTTGGCATTTCTGCTTGATGAATAACTGCAAGGTGTACCTAATAAAGTGGCCAGTGAGTGTATATAAAATCATAGTACCTTTACAGGAGAAGCCCAAAATTACTCAGTTGGAGACTTAATACAAAAATTGGCCAACAAACAAAACCAAGTGATGCCTCTTTCCACTAATAGACAAGCTCAGCAAAGGTCAAGGAATACTGCAGTTACCTCCATAATCTGGCCCATGTGCTGCAGTTGGCTCCCGGGGACAGACAGCCTAGGAGCCAGGCAGGTTGCTGATGGATTTACAGAGTGGAGGATGTGTTGAAGTGTTGAGTGTTGGAGGGTAAAACTACAAAGGTCAGACTTTTGGCTCATGGCCAGAGAGTGGCAAACTAATGATTATAAGGACTGTGCATCCTCCACCTCAAAAGTGCAGCTGCAAGCTATCAGTAGATACACTGTGTCATCCCTGACGTAGTGTTTTTTCTTCACACTTGCGATAGTAGGCAGAGGTGTAGAGAAAAAAAAAGGGCTGCTAATAGTCGGGAAAACCCTGCTGTTTATTCTAGCATCATGTTGGCTAAAGTGATGGTGGGTCAATGTTGGTGGCATGCAACAGGCAGTATAGACCCTTTAGTCTATAGTTTGTAAACAGTATGATGTTTATTGGTGGGCGGGGCTTAGCTGGAGGCAAAACAATTCTCCATCGACATCAGCCAGCTCTAGCTAGCAAGTTCTGCTAGCTTGTTTTAGACAGTGGAGGAAGATGATGTGAGTGGTGCATTCAGAAAATACTCATTCCGAGGTACAAGCCGGACAATTCGTAAATTCGTAACACTGTTGGAATGTACCATTCGGTTATCCACAGCACTGCACTCTCTGAGATCGCCTCCGTCCAGTCAGTTTGTCTTATCATATTAAATCCTAGTTGTCTTTGTTTTTGTTGAAAGGCAATGGTGACTGGTATGTGATAAAATCTAAGTTTTGAGCCATGACTCCTTCCAATTTGGCACAATAATAACACAACAAGACGACATTTTAAGACTCCTATGTAGCCTACAGCCCTGTGGTGGAGAGTCCTGTTTGCCTCCAGCTAATAAAATGACGTCATTGTGATGTTAGCCCTAAAAGGGTCTATAGAGGTCATCAAAATGATTGAGGTCATGTCCATATATCTTATCCCTATCCTTCCTGTCACTGTTTAGTCCCTTCCAGCCAAGCTATAAAATACTTTACCCAAAAGTTTCGTCCTAGGAATCACAACATTTCCGTAAAACTAATGGCAATTTTTAAAAAACATGTTCTCACATTTCAGCAGAAGGAGATTTACAGGAAATGTGGCAGCTTCAAAGCATTTTTAAAGACGTTCCCGTATTCTACTGGAACGTGCTGTAGATAGTCAGAAGTGAGGATGATACTGAAATGTAGAGAGGAAAGAGCAAGGATATAAAATTTTAACGCGCATGTGAGAAAGCCGTGAGTGCCTTCACTTTCCTGCCTTCATCAGTATGCCCTCTATTTCAACCTGGACGCTGCCTCACATTCTTCATTTTCTGGCTTCATCCATCTCGCTCTCCGGTATCATCCCTTCCCCCCCGCTCTTCTCCTCTGCCTCTGTCCCTTTTACACTGATTTTCCATCACTCTCTACGACTCCCCAT